AACAGTAGTCTTTTCTCACCCAGCAAACCCTGGTTCCTTGTTATTCTATCTCAATTCTGCTAAAATCCCAGAATAGCTTCTTCTTTAATTAATCTCTCCCTGCTTATCTCTTCTCATAGGCATCTCAAAAAACCCAGTTGGCATTTTCTATTTTTCTACTTGAAAATTGCCCTAGTCAGATAGATCCCTCAGGTCATTAGGTATCCTTTCTGTTTTTGTTTTGGCCTGGTCTGGCTTTGCCTTGCCTTTTGGCCTTGCCTTTTGGCCTGGACTTGCCTTTTAGCCTGGCCTTTTGGCCTGGCCTTGCTTTTTGGCCTGGCCGGGTCTCTTAGACTGGCCCTATGGCCTGGCCTGGCCTTTTGACCTGGCCTTTTGTCTTGGACTGGCCTTTTGGCCTGGCCTCACCTTTTGGCCTGGCCTTTTGGCCTGGTCTGGCCTTTTGATGTGGCCTTGCCTTTTGGGCCTGGGATTTTGGCTTTGGCTTTTGGCCTGGCCTGGCCTTTTGGCCTGTCCTGGCCTTTGGTTCTGGCCTTTTGGCCTGGCTTGGCCCTGTGTCTTGGCCTTTTGTCCTGGCCTGGCCTTTCGTCCTCCCTTTTGGTCTGGCCTGGGCTTTGGGTCTGGCCTGGCCTTTCCTTTTGGCCTGGCCTTCTGACCCGGCCTTTCCTTTTTGCCTGGCCTTCTGGCCTGGCCTGGCCTAGTAGCATGGTCTGGCCTCTTCTCCTGGACTTTTGACCTGGCCTAACCTTTTGGCCTGGCCTCACCTTTTGGCCTGGCCTCACCTTTTTGCCTAGCCTTTTGTCCTGTCCTGGCCTTTTGGCCTGGCCTTAACTTTTGCCTAGCCTTTTGGCCTTGCTTTGCCTTTTGGCCTGGCCTTTTGGCCTTGCCTTTTGGCTTGTCTTTGACTTTTGGCCTCGCCTTGCCTTTTGGCCTGAACTTTAGGCCTGGCCTTGCCTTTTGGCTGGCCTTGCCTTTTGATATGACCTTTCCTGGTCTTGCCTTTTAACCTGGCCTGGCATTGCCTTGTCTTTCGGCCTCGTCTGGCCTGGCCATGCCTTTGGGCCTGGCCTGGCATTTTGTCCTTGTGTTTTGGCCTGGCCTCGCATTTTGGTCTGGCCTGACCTGGGCTTGCCTTTTGTCCTGGCTTGGCCTCTTGTCTTGGCCTGGCCTCTTGGCCTGTCCTGGCCTTTTGTCCTTGCCTTTTGTCCTGGCCTGGCTTCACCTTTTGGCCTGGCATTTTGCCTGGCCTTTCCTTCTGGCTTTGCCTTTTGGCCTGCCTTTTTGGCCTGGCCTTTTGGCCTGGACTTTTGTCTTAGCCTTTTGTCCTGGCCATTTGCCTTAGCCTTTGGCTCTAGCCTGGCCTTTTAGCCTGTCCTTGCCTTTTGGCCTGGCCTGTCCTTTTGGCCTTGCCTTTTGGCCTGTCCTTTTGGCCTAGCCTTTTGGCCTGTCCTGTCCTTTTGGCCTAGCCTTTTGGCCTGGCCTATCCTTTTGGCCTGGCCTGGCCTCTTGGCCTTGCCTTTTGTGCTGGCCTGGCCTTTTGGCATGGCCTCGCCTTTGGCCTGGCCTTTTGATCTGGCCTGGCCTTGTCTTTTGGCCTTGCCTTGGCTTTTGGCCCGGCCTGGCCTCTTGGCCTTGCCTTTTGTGCTGGACTGGCCTTTTGGCATGGCCTCGCCTTTTGGCTTGGCCTTGTGTCTGTCCTGGTCTTGTCTTTTGGCCTTGCCTTGCCTTTTGGCCTGGTCTTCCTTTTTGGCAGCTCCATGAGCAGAAGCCCGGCTGCTTTCTGGTGCACCAGTGGTTTTCATGGGTGTTTTGTGGAAACTTTGGGCCCTCCAGGGCTACCTTGGGGGCATGGACAAGGCTAAGCGGCAGGGGGAGGGTCCCCACTCACCCAGCCCTGCCGTTGGTTCACTCAGGAGTCAGGCCAGCCCCAGTTTCCTGTGTTTCATGTATTTGACTATCCATGTAAACTCTTGAGGAAAGCATTCGTTGCTACAAGCTATTTCTGGAACGTCCCTACACACAGCCCAGGCAGAAAATAGAAGCACTGGCATCAGGAGCTTAGTATTGGGCAGGTGAGTCTGCTGCAGGGGAGCCCAGCACTGCTCAGATCCCCACATCTCCTGTCACAGCTGGCACGGCTGCCCTATCAGATGCTGCTGCAAGCGGCCACCAGTAGGCTGTGGGCATGCAGCTGCAGGCCAGGTGGTGATCACGGATAAGGCACACACCCTGATCAGCTCCATCACGGGCATGCACAGTGTGGAGGTCAGTGGCTTCCAGGTACGTGAACCTCCCCTCCCCAGGCCAGAGCTGTCATGGGGCAAAAGGTTATGGATGGTTCCTCTAGACACCTGAAACAGGAATTCCTCCGGAGGTGGAGCTTGCTGGAGGGTACACTGAGTCAGAGCAGTGACCTCATTGGAGGCTGACCATGGCTTTCCTGCACAACCCAGAACTCTAGGAACCCCGCTCCAGCAGAGTGGCTCATTTCCCTACACCTCACTAGCCCCCATGCTCCTGAGTCCCTCCAGCCCTGGATACCAGCAGCCAGTTCTGTAAGCCAGGGAGATGGCATGAGCAAGGCAGGAGTCCCTCAGGGTCGGATCTTGTCATTACTGAAGTTGCCTAAAGGGGATTGAACTGAGGAATGCTCAAGATCAGCACAGGCCCCTCCTGCTGACCTATCATGCACCATGCACGGCCTCATGTCTCTGGTCTTCACACTGACTCTGCCAGTGGGGTGGTACTCCTGGTTTACATTAAGAACTCTGATATTTGGAGATGGTTAAGCCGTATCTTAAGGTCACGCTGCTCATGAGTGTGGAGTTGGGGTGTACCCACTGGTTTCTGACCACAAGACCCCCATGGCATCTCACCAGCTCTACTGACCTGTGTCCAGGTTGAATTGAGGCCAGGATGTGGTGGCGAACCCGAACCATCACTCTGTTGACTGAAGTCTTTTCTCAACCCAGTGGAAAGTGGCAGGGAGAGTCAGGACTTGAGGGATTCAGCCTCTTGCTTTCCTCTAACCCACAGTGGACACTGGAGCAGAACTTCCCTTCCGTCCCCTCTCTCTCAGCTCCCACCAGCCTACAAGCCATGGAAACCCATACTTTTTGTCTCCACCCAGCCCCCACTTTTCCCCTTGCTGGCTTCCTGTGTGTCTGGGGTCAGCATCTTCTAGGTGTATCTAAGAAGTCAGCAGCGTAGCCCTCGGCTGCTCACCCAAAGCCTGGTTTGTGTTCTCTCCCTAGCTCTGCCAGACCCATTCCCAGCTGCTGCAGTACATGGAGTGAAACAGGTGAGATGCAACCCTCTGAGGTAGAGGGACAGAACCCTCATTGATAGATGCATAAACTAGTGCTCAGAGCAAGGGTCGCTTACAGCTCACAAGCCCAGCATGGGAGCCTGGGATCTTACGGCTCCAGCTCCCATGGTGCTGTGCATGATTCTGTTGCATCCCCTTCATTTATCATGGGGCAGCCCCTTGGAAGGCATCTGTGGAAACGGAAGCTGCAGAAAGCCTGTGAGAGCTTCTCTTGGCGGGAGCTGGTCTTGTGCTGTTGCTCTGAGCCTCCAGCCCTGCTTTGCCTCAGGCTCACCATGTGGTCTGGGCAGCTCCTATGTGTTCCCATGCCCTGCATATGTTGGCCTGGCTGCTGTGTCCTGGCCTCCTGGAGGAAAAGTGAAAAGCATGAACTTACAGGGCTTTTGGTTCCATGTGCAGGTGATACAGACAGGAGACAGGGAAATACTGGATAGGAAAGGGTGGTTCCCTGGCAAAGGCCCCACCCTCAACGCTGAAGACCCATGGCCCTAAATGAGGACAGGTGTATCTGGTTTTGTGCCCCAAAACTTGCCTTTTGGCCCACCATTTTCTGCATCTTGCCCCCATATAAACTCAAGACCTTAGTGGGCACACACACAAGTGGCTGAATGTCAAGACCAGCAGACCAGCAATGACAGAACAACACAGCAGAGAAAGGGAGAAGAGGAGGGACATCTGGACACTAAGGGGAGTTTGGCTGGGGGCAGTAGGAGGCAGCCCAACTCCAGGGGAAGACCACCTTCCTACTCCAACCCCTCTTCCGACTCCCCAACCATCTCACTGGGAGCCACCGCCACCACTCAGCAAAACCTTGCACTTATCCTTTGAGCCCACGTGTGATCCAATTTTTGGGGGAAACTGGGCAAGAGTGCAGAATTCAGAAAGCTGTCACACTGGCCCTCTGCCCTTAAAATAAGGCAGAGGGTCAATTGAGCTAATTAACAACACAATTAACACAAGCAGCTTGCAGACAGCACACTGAAAGAGCTTTGTAACACATGCCCACTTGGGCTTCAGGAGTCGAGGACACCCACCTCTAGACCCTGCCATGGGCCAAAGCCCAAAAGTGCTTGCCCCAGCCTCTGCACCTGCCCATCTTCATACTCCCCCTAGGGGTTTGAGCAGTGGGGGTGAGTCAGTAGGTGAGCCACCCCGTTACACATTCTGTGAGGGGAGGTGGGGAACTCCCATTTCACAGGCATGTGAGTCAGGTATGGGAGGCTCCTGGACCGCCTGCCCTCTCAGTTGATCCTTTGCATGCTGCAAACAGCAAAACAAAACCGTTCAAATATGGATGCTATTCTTACTTGATGTGCACAGTGTGAAGGGAAAGAAGATAGCGAAGGGGGTCCAGAGGACCACCATCCTGACCTGTTTGGATTCTCTTTTTTATGGAATATTAAGCAAAAACCCAATACACAGAGCCTCTCACAGACAGGTAAGAGAGTTGCTGTCAGAGGGACCAGAGCTGATTTGAGCCACTTCTGAGCTTAATCCTGGGACTGAAAGCTGAGGGCTCATAGCGAAGCTCCCAAGGCCCTTCTTGTGTTTGCTCTTAGGGGTGGAGCTGAAGAATCAATGCCCCTCTTTTCCAGAGCCAGATAGACATCAACCTGTTCACCTTTCCACATTCCACATCCGATTTCCTTGTTGTCACCACCTAGTGATAACACTGTTTTTAAAGAGTACACCTGTTTATTAAAATGAAAAACAGAAATGTACATTTTTGTTCTTTGTTTGCTTTAAGAAATTTGATCAAGTTGCAAGGAAATGACTGGGCACGGCTCTGTACCTCCTCGGGCAGTGTGGAAGGCAGTGAAGATGGCTGCATGGCACGTGGCTCCTCCAGGGGGTGGTCTGGCCCCCAGGCATCATTAATCAAAGCCACTGCCAAGCAGGATTCAGTCCATGGCAATGTCCCCAGTGCTTCCTCCTAGGGGGCCCTGACACCTTCCCCAAAGGCCCACCTGCCCAGTGCCAGTGAGCCAGGGGCTGGCCTCCCCCCGAGGACTTCAGGACACCGGGTGGGCTCTAGGGCACTTGGCCCTGGCAGGCAGGCTCTGAGCTATGGAACAGATTGAGGCTGGAGGCCAGTGTCACTACTGCCCAGATTTCTTCTCCTTCTGGAAGCTGAAGCTTGTACATCTGTTCAGTTTTCTTTGTTTTTGAGCAAAGTAGTCAGCCCGGGCAGTGCTTGCTCACGATTCCAGGATGTAGTTAACCTTCAGCACAATTTCATTGACGGTAGCAGCATCTGATTCAAAGTAGAGGTGTTTATAGTCGTGATTGCTTAGATATGTGAGTTTAAATATTGCGTGACTGGGGCTTTTTTCTTCAGCAAGGTCACAGGCACAGAGCAGGTCAGAACTGATTAAGATGGGTTTCTGCTTAATCCAAAACTTAGTGCTGGCTTTCTGATTCGTAACAGGGTCTATCTCTACTTTGTCTCCAGAGATACCTAGCTATATGTCGGTTGTGAATCACAGTCTGTGGACTATTCTGACTTTGAATGACTTGTAATGGTGGCTGCTAAGGATATCCTGTTCTGTGGCTATGTCAATTTGCGAATCCTCCTCAAAAACCCCATCTGCCCTTGAACTGTTCTCGCGGACCAGGCAGAACTCCCATGTGCTCTGGCTCTCCAAAGTGCTGTCCAGGTCAATGGCGACATTGGGCTCACTCTGCTTCTCCAGGCAGTACTGAGGGCCTGAAATTTTCTGGGGTCCTTTTCTTCGCTTCACTGCCTTTAGTAAGATTTCCTTCATGGTGACCTTTGTGTCACCTGGCCAAAGCTGTGGCAACAGAGGCCAACCACTCCACCTTCTTCTCCGTGTCCTCCCCAGATCTGATGTTCAAGTGGCTCGGGGAGAGTGAGAAGCTGGTCAAGAACCTGTTTGAGCTGGCCAGGCAGCACAAGCCCTCCATCATCTTCATCGATGATGTGGATTCCCTCTGTGGATCCCGAAATGAAAATGAGAGCGAGGCTGCCCAGAGAATCAAAACGGAGTTCTTGGTCCAGATGCAGGGGGTGGGAAATAACAATGATGGAACTCTGGTTCTCGGAGCCACAAACATCCCATGGGTGTTGGATTCAGCCATCAGGAGGAGGTTTGAGAAGCGCATTTACATCCCCTTGCCAGAGGAAGCTGCCCGAGCACAGATGTTCTGGTTGCATCTGGGGAGCACCCCCCACAACCTCACGGATGCAAACATCCATGAGTTGGTCCAGAAGACCGAAGGCTACTCGGGGGAGGACATCCGCATCATCGTGTGGGACTCCCTCATGCAGCCCATGAGGAAGGTGCAGTCAGCCACACACTTCGAAAAGGTCTGTGGCCACTCCCACACAAATCCCAGCATGATGATTGATGACCTCCTGACCCCATGCTCACCAGGGGACCCAGGGGACATGGAGATGACTTGGATGGATGTCCCTGGGGACAAACTCTTAGAGCCTGTAGTTTTCATGTCAGACATGCCGTGGTCTCTGGCTACCACCTGGCCCACGGTGAATGCAGACGACCTCCTGAAAGTGAAGAAATTCTCAGAGGACTTTGGCGAGGAGAGTTAAAAGCTGCCTCACTTGGGCAATGGTGAAGGTGGGAGGTTGATTAGGGCAAATCCAGGCACTCCCCATGTCAGCAGCCAGACAGGGCTCCAGGGCTTGTCCCAAAGTCACTAGAGTTCCCTCTACTCTCTGGCCACCCACCAGGGAGCTGGAAAGAAGGGCTTTGCAGCTGCAGAGACACTCTGCCACCCTGGGGCACATGGTGGACACTGGCTCTTCCTACTTCCTCCTCTCCTGGATGCTCACCAGCTCCTTCTACCCCTTTTTTTTTCTTCCATCTTTTGTTCCCCTAAATTAATACTGCTTGGATTTTTGTCTTGTTTATAAATAAAGATAAATTCATCTGGAAGAAAAAAGATGATGGATGGAAGAAAAAGCAAATTCCTGTCCTCAAGCCATGTGAGGATCTAAAACAGAGTGTAATTACTTAACCCTTAATGCAGCGTGCTTGTAAGACAAAAGTCACCTTCCTCTAGGGTGAAGGCCACAGGAATCAGTGAGAAAGCCACCTTTCCTGGTGCCCCATAGCACAGATGATGACCCGAGATCCTCACCACCTCCCTCCCTCTTCAAACACAGCCTCCCTTGGGCTTTTGGACAGAAGTGGGATGTTGATTTGTTCTGTGTGACCCCTCTCTCATATTCCAACTTGGGCCTTGGGTCTGGCTGCAGCCTCAGACTCTTTTTGACTGCAGGCCTGCATACCTGGCACTCCCCCAGGGGGAGCCTGGCCACTGGCACCTGAACCCTAACCTCGTGACTCAACTCAGCCACAGTGGCAGCCCCCGGGGATGGGGTACAGGCTGTGTTCCAGGTGCTATGCTAGGCACAGTGGCTCTGAGCTAGGATATTCCATGGTCCCTGGCAAGGAGAGGAAACCGAGGCCCAGGGAGGTGACTTCAGGAGGATGGCATGCACAGGCTTCCCATGAGTGAGCCAACAGCAAGTGGTGGAGCCAGCCTTCAAACCTGGCTGCGCTGATCCGAGGCCTTGCGTTCCTCCCATCCTGCCTGCATTTATCCTTGAAGTCAGCTTTCCTCCTGAATTACCCATATGGGTAATTGTCACTGCCATCATCCCTTTCAGACAGGCTGGATCCATGTCATCTTTGATGCCTTTTGGCCCTTGTGTCCCACACCCCGTAACAGCCGCCAGGTAGTCCTGCATTCCCACACTTCTCCCACCGCTGGGACATGGCCACAGGTGCTCCTTCCCTTGCCCTCCCTCTGCCCCCCCTTGCTTTCCTTCTCCCCACTTCTTCCCATGGGCCTCATCACCCACCATTGGGAGAATCTTTGTCAAAGGCCATCAGTCATTTTAGAAACCTATAAAGGCTGCAAACTTTTCATGTCTGCATCCCAAGCTAATAAGATCTGTCACCAAACCACATGCATTGGTACCATTAACTGAACAGCACTGTCCCTGCCCATGAGCAGGTCCCAGGCTTCACCTCCTCTATGCCTTTGCTCACAGGAGTTCCTTTCTTAAACTCTTAATTATTCAAGGCCCAGTTTAGATGCTGTCACCTGGAAGGGAAGCTGAGGAGGCATACATTTTCATGAACAACCTTAGAGAAACTTGAAAGCCACAGAGACGTGTTTGAGAAGAGCATCTCCCCAACCTAGGAGGGCATTGTGTTGTGGGCAGGGGCAGTAGAGAGAAGTGGTATTAGAGAGGGATGACAAGTTGGCAGCAAGGGGCTCAGGATGCCTTGGAAGGTGGGAGTGGATCATGCTTCCTGGGTGGTGGAGGTGGAAATCTTTTTAAAAATTTAGATGACAGCTCACTCTGTTTGCACACATGACTACAGCTGGGCTTGGTTTTGTAGGCACAGCAGCACTGTGAGAAGAGCACAGTCAACAGAGAGATGCTTGCTCCACTCTCCTGTGGGCCTGAACAGGATCCAGCTGCACCCCACCCCCCTGCCCCTCACATGCATTCCCCCTCTGGCCTTGGGGAACTCCAGAGTCCCCTTCATCCCCACCCTTCTTGGTGCAGCAGGCCTTGCTGGGGTGGTGGGCTGTGGGCTGCAGGCGTCTCAGGCCTGCAGAGCCTCTGGTTTAGTCAGCCTCCCTCTCATGGCTGCTCCTCATTTCTCTCCACTGCTCTCTCTCATCCCACCCAGCTATTTGACTTCACAAAACAGTACAGAGTGGTGCTCTCACCCAGGGAGCTCAGCATGAAAGGATTCTTTCTTTCTGCACCTTCCTGGGTTAGGAGGAAGCAGTGCAGTGTGCACTAGCTTGCTGCGACTTGGGCAAGTAGTGAAGGTAGACGGGAGGGGACAGAGGGGCAAGGATGGGGATCCTCTCAGGCAAGGATCCCAGAGAAGCTTGTGTTAGGGGGTAGGTGGGCTTTGGTTTGGGTCATGGTTTCATCATCCATAAGCTATGTGACTTGGACCAGTTTCTTTCTCTCTCAACCTCAGCTTCCTCGTGTGAAAAGGGAGCAGATAGCTTAGCGAGATGGTTGCCCTGGAGATTAAATGGGATTTAATTTAAAGAAAAAGTGCTAGTGTTTCTTTGCCAGACATGGACCCACCTGGGGACCCCCTTGGTGCGACAGTAGAGGTGTCTGTTGGGTCTGCACTCACCTTCTCCCCACACATCTCTTTTTCCAGGCAGCCTCAGTCAGAGGCTCTTGCTCCTGAATCCAGCTGTGCACTTTACCTGGGTGGTGTAGGCACCACCTGGGGGGCACCATGCAGCCAGTAAGGACACCTACCCCAGCCTCTTGTGCTGCAGGTGTTGGGATGAGACAGAGCCTGGGAAAAGATGCACCATCAATCCTGTTCTCTCCTGGGGCCACGAGCCAGAAAGGGTCAGCCCGAACGGTCCCATTGATGTCCACTGGGTGGCACTACTGTCCTGTCTTACTGCTGTGCCTTTTAGGCATAAGATCGCACTTCTCCCAGAGAAAGCTGTTCTGTGGTTTCAAACTCTCATTGAGGTGCCTCAGTGCCACTCCCTTCCTGCAGGGACCATAGAACTAGCAAACTTCTCTCTCCTATACACTTAACTTTTAATATCTGTTTTTATGAAATTATTCTCTTTTCATTGCAGAAAGCACAGATAGGCAAAAACAGGGAAAAAATCATAATTCCACTTCAAAATGGTTCATTTTGTTATATATCATAATGGTCTTCCTATGCATAATTTTTATATATGTAGATACATATTTTTAAAACAAAACAAAATGGTGTTTCCTCCACATGCTGTTGTTGTAGCTTGTTTTTTTCATAAATGTGTCATAAACGTGCTTTGTTGTCAACAAGGATGCATGTATTCCACTGCAGTCCAGCTGTGCTGTGTTCCAGTTATATGGAGATACTGCATTTTATGTAGTTACCACTCTTCCATTAGATCTTCAGGCTATGTCCAGTTTTTCCTCTGTTTTAAACAACATGGTGATAAATATAACCACATCTTAGTGCAGCAGTGATTCCATCTGTTGTACTGGACCATCTTCACATTGCTGTAAAGAAATGCCTGACACTGGGTAATTTATAAACAAAAGAGGTTTAATTGGCTTACAGTTCTGCAGGCTGTACAGGAAGCACGGCAGCATCTGCTTGGCCTCTGAGGAAGCTTCAGGAAACTTACAATTATGGTGGAAGTTGAAGGGGGAGTAGGCACATCTTATGACCACTCTGGAGCAAGAGAGCAGGGTGGGCAGGATGGGGGTGGTTTCTCACACTTGTAAACAGCAGATCTCACAAGAACTCACTATCATGAGGACAGGACCAAGAGGATGGTTTGGGTCATTCATGAGAAACTGCTCCCATGTTTCGATCACCTCCCGCCGGGCCCTACCTCCAACACTGGGGATCACGATGCAGCATGAGATTTGGTGGGAACACAGATTCAAACCATATCACCATCCTAGCAAAGGGCCTGTGGGACGAAAGGCTGCTGGAAGTCTTGGATTAGCTGCCTCAGTGTTTTATTTTTATATTTTTGTGTGTATAGATTCATAGTTGTATTCATCCCGCACATTAACATTGTTTATAGTCCATGTTGCTCCTGACACTCAGGTTGTTTCAAAGCTGGTGTGACAGCCACTTCCTGCTAGCTCAGGTCCTCACTGTGGCCCAGTCAGTCTCGGCTCCAGGACAACAGTATGTCCTGGGCTCACCATGGGCATCCTTGTCCCCACAGTGGACTCATTTCTCCAAGCTGCCCTGATTTCTTTCTTTCTTTTTTTTTTTTTTGAGACAGTTTAGCTCTTGTTGCCCAAGCTGGTC